ATCGTTTGATGGACGCAGAGAAGAGTGTTTCACGAGGTTGTTTCAAGATTAAATGGGCTTTTAAATCAACCGTAATACTTGCATGTTGGGCTGAATGTAAGTTTGTATGAAAAAGCAGATGGAAACTATTAGCAAATTGGCCGTATCGAAAAACGTTGTTGTCCTGCTAGCCAGAAACAACCGTTGTCTCGTGAAAAACATCGTCACTACCAGAAACCATCCGTTACAAGAATTCACCAAAACACTACACAAAAATAAGTAATATGCTGTCATTCATTTAGAGCGAGGAAGGACATAATAAAAAGATATTTTGATTTATGTTTAAGAGTTTTGGTGATTGATGTCAATTATGATGAACTTTTAGAGGAAATGGGTTTTCGAGGCATGACGAATTCTTAATTAAGACTTCCAGACACCTTAGGTCCCGTAAGCTGATGAAAGACTAGTAGTTGAATTTTTCCCCAATCATAGGATTATGCATCACGTTTTACAATGTTTCATATAAGTTTGCTACCTAAATGGAATTCTCAAGATTTACTGATGGCCTCGAAACCTAATTTATATGCCTATTGTAAAGCAGCTGCCCCAAACTGATGAAATATAGAGGCTCTAGGGTTCTAGTTGATAGTAGAGTTGACGATTTAGTGGTTCCGAATTTGACCACTGATCAGCACATAAGGGATCAAAGAGAAAGCCGCAGGTCTAAACAAACCTGGTTTTTCAACAAATCAACAATAAGCTTTAAGGCCGGATGTGTTGACGGATAGGCTATGAGAAATTTTTATTATATGAGTTGTGTGACCCTATTTCGTTTAAGGTGATGAAGGACTGGTAGTTGTTTTTTCCCACAATAATGTGAGTAGGCCTGAAGTTTTCATTAAATTTTGCATAGCCTTGCTTTTCCAAAAGGTGTTCTCATTCAGAGTGGACTGCAGTTTCGATCTCGCATAGGTCAGCAGAGAAGGTTTAACACACCAAACGGGAGTCGAACCATGGCAGTGCAACGCGTAAGTTCGACACGTTAGCCACTACGCCACATTTCCATGAGGTCCTTTGGGCCGCAGGGCAAATGTGAAGTTCAGAGAAGGCGAGGAATTTTTTCATATCAGTTTCAACCTCGCCTAGGCTTCATTAACACTTCTAGTAGGACTCGAACTCGGACAGTTTTATGTCAATCTAGAAGCATGGACATATATCCGTTTGTGTCTGCCTATGTATTTTGATAAGGGATAGACCCTAATATCTCTCCAGAACACACTTTCATTTAAAATGGAGATGAGGTAAATAGTTATAAATCAAGAAATTGCTCAAAACCAACTTTTCTTCGCATACACACTCATTTGCCATTGCATTCGCCATTACTACTGACAACTAAATAAGTAGGCCTCTAAACTATCGATTGATTTTGAATTAAGATCAGGATTTTTCGGTTCAGAGGAACAGGGCATTTTAGAAGTATTGTGGCGACGTTCTAATAAACCTTGATGAATGAGGTGTAATTCTCATTTTATAATGTACACTACTTGAGTTTTGTGCTATTTGCCCCTTAGTCAGCAGCTTATCGCCACCTCGACCGGATGCCTCGACCGAATGGCCTCAGTCGGAGATCGGTTGTCTGGCCAACCAGAGGAATGCTATTGCAGTGGCAACAGAGGCAACATTATCGGTCAGTCCTGTATGCAGCCGAGCCGAGGGTGAAGAGGTCTACTGGCGAGATGGACAAGCGCTCTCTGAGGCGCCTCCCTTTCTGCCACATGTTGCTGGCTTCCATCGGCCTCCTGGCGACCAGACGGATCATGAGTTGCCGGCTTGCTCACTCGCAGCGCTGATCTGCACTCCCATGCCCTGCACTTCGATGGCCCCATTCTCCTCCTCCTCCTCTTCATCCGCCTCTTCCTCCTCTTCGTCTTCGTCTTCATCTTCTCAGAGCTCGGTTGAGACGATTTCGGGTCTGGCGAGGCCGAATGCCCGACACTCCGGCCGTCGTGAGGTGGTATCGACTGCCGTCGAGCCTAGTCACTGGGACGCCTCAGATATTTGTGTAGATTCTTCTCGCCCAGAGGGTACACGACCAACATGTGTCGGCCCTACGATACACTCGGACCACGTCGAGACTCAGAAGAGTAGCCGAAAGGAGGAGGAGCAAGAGGGGGAGGAGAGGGAGGCAGAGCTGGGGCCTGGCGACTCAATTGCAAGGATTGCCTGGTTGCTGGGCAACAACCATACTGTCGAGGATTGGGTGGCCACTGAGGCTGAAGACTCAGAGTCTCGTGGGGACGTCGACGAGGACGGGGTACCAGACGAGCCTGAAGGAGAGACGGAGACGGAGGCGGATGCCGATGTGGCTGTCAGTGAGTCGGACAGTTCTGGCCGACGACGACGTACAAGAACCAACTTCACCTCGAGTCAACTGGCCGAATTGGAGGCAGTGTTTCGTGTCAGTCACTATCCTGTGATGTACGCTCGCGAAGAGTTGGCCAAACGCCTCGGATTGGCCGAGTCCAGGATTCAAGTACGCTTGAGCTGTATTGCGTTTTATTTGGAGAGACAGAGCAAGATATGGCATTAATATCAAAGCTACTGGTAGTCTCTGGAACCTACCACTAAATGGAAAATAAGTTGCTATAGCAAATATAACCTAGTTGCGTTGACGATCCAAGCAGAAAATGTGATATGGCAAAGGCATAAGCTTCCTTGAAATTCCCTTCTGCCCGATGATCCAACGGCA